AATTGATGAAAATGAGATGGTAATAAATGAACGCAATCAACTAACTTTGTTCCAAACATATGAGCTAATTTACAAAATGTATCCATTGACTCTTTATGATTTTCAAGTTCAGGACTATTTAATGCATCTGGATCAAGTTTAGTATCTTCATTAATTAATAATTGAATTACTTCTTTTGTTACAGCTCTTAAATATGGTAATAAACAAAGATGACAATACTCTCCATATAATCGTGTAAATGATGTATTTCCTCTAAATACTTGTGTCTCTGCATTTGTCGTTTCAATTTCTCTTTTTGCAACTTCTTTCATTAAATCAAGTAACTTTCCATGAACATTAAAATATTCTACAAGAAGTCTTGCATTTGTATTACATTCCGGTGCCATTTTTCCTTTCACAAATTCAGCACAATAACATCTTAAAAATTCACTATCTCTAACAAATAATAATTGATCGAATTTATATTTATCTCCATTTGGGTTGTATGTATAATGTGCCTTAAAGAAACTCATTTTTATTATTTATAGTTTTTTTTTATTATTTTTATTATTATTATTTTTTTTTTAATACACTTTTAATATTTTCAATTATTATAATATATTTTGTTATTTACTATAATTATAAAACTAATAGTAAAAATAAAAATAATGAATAATAACAAAAAATTATCTCAAAAAAATATTCAATTGAATGAAAACAAAAAAATGAGATGACTTTTTAGTCGTGATTATCGCAAAAACCTAAAAAAAAAAAAATAGAGAAGGGGTAGATAAGAAAATTTAAATCAAAACAAAAAAAGAATAAAAGGAATATAATTTATAAATAATAAATGAGATGATAAAAATTGAAGTTTTTAACTTTTTTTAAGAATAGCAACGATTTGTCTCAAATAATAAAACAGAGATTTTTTATCTTCTTTAGAAAAATCTTTAATCTTAAAAACATTAAATGAATGCTCCATCAATTGAACTTATTCAAAAGTATTTCTCGAAAAATTTTAAAAAAATGATCGAGGGTATTAAAGAAAAGAAAATACAATTAATTCAAGGAGATTTTACTAAAAGTTTTCAACCAACGTTTAGTTATACTATTCGTTCAAGTGATGAATTTGCAATGACAACATTTTCTACATATGCAGTTGTTAATAATAAAAAAGATGGTGATCCAGTTTGTGATAAAGCAGGAGTATTAAGATATAAAAATGCATTTATTTCATGTATTGCAGATGGTTGTGGATGGGGAGAAAAATCTTCAAAAGCAGCTATTAGTGCTGTTTCAGGATGTTTAGATTATTTATCACTTTCAATTAAAATGGCAAAAACAACAACTGATATTGCACGGATATTAGTTGAATCATTTGCACATGCACATTATAATGTTTGTCATTATCTATTTTTACATATAAATGAGTTAATCAAAAATAGATTATTAAAGAAAAACAGTCCCCAATGCATATTGGTATAACTACATTATTAGTTACTTGTACAATTTATGTAGAAAATAGTAAAAAAGTAATTAAACCTTTTACATTACTTCTTTCTGTTGGTGATTGTCGTGCATTTTATGTTAAAATGAAATCAAAACAAGCTATTTCATTATGTGGTACTAATAGAACAAAAATTAAAGAAATTCAAAATTGTTCAGGTAGTCTTGGAGCAGCAAACGAGTACTTGCCAGATTTAAAAGGGTCAGTTCTTTTATTAATAAAAAGTGAAATAGGTGATAAAATTCTCACAGTAACAGATGGGTTTTATGACAATATTTCTTGTATGTCAGAATTTGTTTTTCCTTTAATTGATAAATCAGCAACATTAGCTGATTTTTTGGAAAGTCTTTCTAAGTTATTAATTGATATAACAGAACCAATAAGAAAAGAAGTAGTTACAACAAGAAAACTTATTATTAGTAAAGGAAAATTAGATCATTCTACTTCAATTATTTATGATATTGTTAGTCAATATTCTTTAAATCCAATTAACACTTTCTATCCTTCTATTTTTGATTCATTAATTCCTAATAAAAAAAGAGTGTCTAGTCTTCCTAAAGCATTAGAATTAAAAGGACCAAACCAAACTGATCTTACGGATTTATTATCACCTCCAACTACTTGTTTCTCTTCTGTTTTACCTTTTCCTTTTTCTGTACCAATATCTTCTCCAACACCTTCTCCTTCAATTTGTTCACAAATTGTTAGACTTGATACTTCTCCTTCTAACGATTCTTTACTTAGAAAAAAATCACCTATTCTTTTTCTTGCTCCTACTTCATTTAAACGTCATTCAGTTAATCAATTACTCCATCAATCACATTTCCTTCAAACAAAAAATGTCGATGTTCAATCTTTTGCATCAACACCTGTTGAACATCCTTCATCTCCGTTCGCTCGTTTCTTCTTAGAAGAAGTCAATTGATCAATTGTATATTCTATTTCTTAATATTATTATTTACTATTCTTTTGTCATTTCCTTTTTTTCTTTTGATATTCTATAAATAGAAAACTATTATGTGCCTTTTTTACATTTTTCATATTCATTACTGCATCTTTTTTACACTTTTTAAAAAAATCAACGCGTTTCATATTTAGTAATAAATCATCTTATTATGTATTTCAAAAATAAAAATAACTTATCGAAAATGAAATAGTTATTTCAAAAAAAATTATTTTAGTTGACTCTAATCACTCAAAAATTTTCATGATTATATTGAACGAGATTTTAAATTAAAAATAAAAATATTCGAATATTTTAATTAAAAATTTTGGTTTAAATTGTTTTAGTTACCATTTTTGGTAGTTCATTTAGAGTGAAAAACTCTAAATAATAAATCACTCACTTATTAATAACTATCTACTAATAAACCAAATGAAAAAAGTATTGAACAAGAATATTTCTTTGATAAAAGAAAATGTGTATTAGTTACTTAACTGAAAATAAAATTATTTCTTTTATTAAATATTTTTAATATTAAAATAACTTTTTATTATAACTGAAAAGAGGAAAATAAATTGCGTCAGACTAAAATAACATATCTTCTCTTCTCACATAATTATTTTTATTCTTAACATTTTTTAATTGATTCGTTAAACTACTTTTTTAAAATATAAAAATTAATTTTTTTTGACTACTGTAACGTTAACAGGAATATTAAATTCAGATAACAGTTATTTATCATAAAAATAAAAATATCATCACTAACAAAAAATGAAAATTATCTATTTGAAATGTTTTATTAATAAAAAGTTTGTATAATAATATTAACTTTAATTCTTTCAACATACCTAATATTAAAAATAGTTTATTGTAATCTTATGAAAATGAATAACCTAAACATTAACATCAAAAGTATAATAAAAAAAAAAGAGTAATAACAAAGAAATATTAAATCTCACACATAAAAATTTATGTTATATAAAACATATTATTGTATTTATAAAATAAAAAATTAATAATAATAAAATTAATAACTTATAGTAATTGATTGATAAAAGTATTAATAATTGTCATGTCTCAAATTGTTAATTAATGTTTCAAAACCTGTATATAATGGTGAATGACACCAATAAACATTTTGTTCATTTTGTTCTACTAATTGAACTTCAGATAAAACAATAGAATTTAATGCCTTTGTTGTTTCAAATTTTTTCCAGTTAGCTTTTGAATAAGGTGTCATTCTACAATCACCACAAATTAAGACAAGATCAACATCAGAAAAATTATTATTTATTTCAAATGAACAAAAAGTAGTTGAATCAATATGCCCAACAACCATAAGAATTTCTATAAATCCTCTCATTAATTCAATTGTCGGATGGATAGCAATTTTTACATTTTTATTTTTTTGTTTTAATAGTTCAACTAAATCATTTAATAAAATTTGAGATTGTGATTGAATTAATGAATGGCTTGGTATTATAACTATGTTTTGTGCGTCTAAACACATTTCACTTACTTCTTTTAAGTCAATTTGTGGAATATCTATTTTACGTTTTAAAAAATCAACATCATTTGAGGTAAGTTTATTTGCAAAAATCATTGAAAGTAATGATATTTTCTTTGCTTGACATGAATCAAGTAAAGTAACTATAAAATACATTCCTACAATACTTCCACAAAATACTACTGTGTTATTATTTCTTATTAGTCCTACTGCAACAACAGTCCATCCACTCAATGACTGTAAAATACCCATCATTATAGAAAGATCTGATTGATCAACCATCATTGTAATAAATGAACATAATGCTATTAATAATGCAGTTGTCCAATATAATGCAAGTTTAGCAGTATTATCATTAACTAAAATAATAAATGAAGATAAAATAATAGATAAAATAAATGTAAAAACAACAAAGAAACTTCTTAAAGGTATTTTTAATTTATAATGAGGAAGTAATTTAAGAAGTTTAAAAATGACTACTGAATAACCTATTATTCCAGACACACTTGACCACATTCCTATACAAACTTCTACCATTAATAAATAAAATAATTGATCTTTTGGTCTTTGAGATGGATTAAAGTAAATTGGAGTTAAAAAATCACCTGTAATTAATACAAGTGATGATATTGAACCAAATAATGATAATGTACAAATAAATAATGGAAATTGAAATACTTTAAATTTATGTAATATTACTACTCCAATACCAATTCCTAAAACCATTGGTGAAATAAAGATAGCAATTAATTTAATATCTGAAATAGTTATTATTTGCCAAATTGATACTACAATAAATGATAATAACACTCCTGTTATTGCTAATATACATCCTCTAAAATATAATTTGGGTTTCTTTAAATAATACAATGAAATACATATTAAACAACAAGTAATAATAAATGACATTTCAACATATGCAGGAAATGAAATAATATCCATTAAATTGGTTTGATTTTATGTTATTTTTTTTTTTCTTTTTTTTTATTTTAATTATTGTTTTATTGTTAATTATTTTACTATTTAAAATAAATTATTTAAATTCTTATAACAAAAATGTGTATTTATATCTTTACTGGATGAAATTGCATTGGAATTTGGTCATCATCTTCTTCTAATTCATATTCTTCGTTATTAATATCACTGAAAGCATCATTGTCATTTTCAATTTCTTCAATTTCATTGTCAACTGAATCAAGGAATGAATAAAAGTCTTGATTTCCAGAAATAAGAGTAATTGTTAAAAGGAATATAATAAAGTTGAACATAATATATTATTTATTTTAAGTTCTTTTTACTTTATGATAACAATTAATTTTTATTTATTTTTGTTTATGAAAATTAACTTTAAATCATTACTTTGAATAATTTAGTTAAAGATAACCAGCAGAAACAATTTTAATATCTTCATCATCTTCATTCTCATCTTCTTCTTCATCTTCATTCTCATCATCATCATCTTCTTCTTCATAACCATCATCATTAATTTCAAAATCCTCTTCATCAAATTCGTAGTCTTCATCATCGTCATCTTCTAATTCATCATCATCATCTTCTTCCATATCATCATCTTCAAGATCAAATTCATCATAATCATAATCATCATCAAAATCAAAATCAAAGTTAGTTTCTGTTTCAAAACTATCTTCAGCAAAAACAGTTAAAATTAAAGCAATTAATAAAAAGAAAAGAGAACGCATAAATATAAGAATAAATATATTAAGATTAGTTCTTCTTTTGACTTTTGTTAATATTATGTTATAAATACAATAATTCATTCTTCATAAAATTTAAAAAAACTAAATAATAATAAATAATGTTAATATTGTTATTAACCCTTTGTATTTGTTCTCTTGCACAAAATAGCGATGTTATTATTGGTATTGACCTTGGTACAACTTTTTCTGCTGTTGGTATTTATAGAGACAGTGGAGTAGAAATTATTGCCAATGATCAAGGTAATAGAATTACACCATCAGTTGTAGCATTTACTGATCATGACATTCTTGTTGGAGAAGCAGCAAGAAATCAAATAACAGAAAACCCAAAGAACACTATATTTGAGATTAAGAGACTTATTGGAAGGACATACGATGACAAAGAAGTTCAACGAGATTTACATATCTTTCCATTTAATATTATTAATCAAGACAATAAACCATTCATTAAAGTTACTTTAAAAGGTGAAGAAAAAATTTATTCACCAGAAGAAATAAGTGCTATGATCATTCATAAAATGGCTAAAACTGCTTCAGATTATCTTGGAAAAGAAGTTAAAAAAGCTGTTATTACTGTCCCAGCTTATTTCAATGATGCACAAAGACAAGCAACAAAAGATGCAGGTACTATTGCTGGACTAGAAGTTTTAAGAATTGTTAATGAACCTACAGCAGCATCAATGGCATTTGGGTTAAATAGTTTTAAAGGAGAGAAACAAATTTTAGTATTTGATCTTGGAGGGGGAACATTTGATGTGTCATTATTAAATATTGAAAATAATGTATTTGAAGTTATTGCAACATCAGGAGATACTCATTTAGGTGGAAGTGATTTTGATCAAAGAATTGCATTATTCTTAGTTGAAATTTGTAAAAGGAAATTTAAAAAAGATCCTTCTGATAACCCACGAGCAATGAGTAAATTAAGAAAAGAAGCTGAAAAAGCTAAAATTGCTTTAAGTAGCGAAGAACAAACAAAAATTGAAATTGAAGGGTTAATGGAAGGACTTGACTTCTCTTTTGTTTTAACAAGAGCTCGATTTAATGAATTAAATCTTGATTTATTTAAAAAAACACTTGGACCAGTTAGAATGGTTTTAAGTGATGCAAAATTAGATAAAAAAGATGTAGATGAAATTGTACTTGTTGGTGGATCTACTCGTATTCCAAAAGTTCAAGAATTATTACAAGAATTCTTTAATGGAAAAGAACCAAATAAAGATGTTAATCCAGATGAAGCTGTTGCATATGGAGCTGCTATTCAAGGAGCAGTTTTAAATAATAGTGAAGGAACAAATGATGTTGTATTAGTAGATGCTACCCCATTAACATTAGGTATTATGACAGCAGGAGGTGTTATGGCATCAATTATTCCAAGAGGAACACATGTACCAACAAAGAAAAGTCAAATTTTTACTACCCATGCAGATAATCAAGAACAAGTTGAAATTCAAGTATTTGAAGGAGAAAGAAGTTTAACTAAAGACAATCATTTATTAGGGAAATTTATGTTAGAAGGAATTAAACGAGCACCAAGAGGAATTCCAAAGATTGAAGTTACTTTTGATGTAGATGTTAATGGAATTTTAAGAGTTTCTGCACAAGATAAAAAATCAGGAAAGAAAGAAGAAATTACTATTACATCAGAAAAAGGAAGACTAACTGAAGAACAAATTCAAAGAATGGTTAAAGAAGCTCAAGAACGATCAGGAGAAGATAACAAAGCAAAAAAAATGATTGAGTCACGAAATGAATTAGAAAATTATGCATATAAAGTTCGAGATGAAGTAATTGATAAAGATAAATTAGCTGATAAATTACAAGAAGGTGATAAAAAGACTATTTTAGATGGAGTTGATGAAGTCCTCGATTTCTTAGAACGTGAAATGCATCCAAGTATAGAAAAATGTGAAGAAATGTATAAAAAATTAGAACAAATTGTTCATCCAATTTTAAGAAGATATGGAGGAGTACATCATAGAGCTGATGAAAATTTTTATGAAGGAAAAGAAGAGAATAAAGAAGAAGATAATTTTGGAAGAGACAGAGATGAAGAAGAAGAAGAGAAAGATGAATTATAATTCAATTTCTTAATTTAAATGAAAAGTAGTTTTTGAACCAATAAGAATTAAGTAATACAACCCTATATATTAGGGTTAATATACTTCTAAAATTTATTATTCAATGACTGAGAATTTTGTTACACAATCTAATTTACTTAGATGTTTTAGAACATTAGGATTATTTGCTGGAAATCAACCAGCAGCATGTTGTAGTGTTGGGAAATTATTACATTTAATGGTCCCAGTAGAACATTCATTTATTTCATATGATATTACACATAAATTAGATTTTTTATATCGTTCACAAGAATTTAAAGAACGTGTTATGGCAGTTTATATGAGAAATTATCAAGCAATAGTAGTAACAAAACACTCAGTTTATTTTGAAGGAGAAGTTCAAACATTTAATGAAGTAAGTATTGAAGGAACAATTTCATCATCATTACTTTTTGGAGACCATTTAATTATTTCAACAGAAAGTAGGTTAATCATAATTACAATTGATACACATGAAATTTATAAGAAAATACCACTTCCATGTGAATCACCAACAATATTTCATCCAAGAGAATACTTAAATAAAATTACATTAACGTGTGAAAATCAATTATATTTAATGAATATTAATACTGAAAAACTTTTATTCACTTTTAAATTTCCAGAAAAAATTGTTGGAATTGCACAGTCTCCAGATGTTGATATTCATGCAATTGCTTTAGAGTCAGGTGAAATTCAAATTTTTAACTTAAAACAAAATAAAAAAATATGTTCACTTATAAATTCTCATCAACCTACTGCACTTAATTTTATTAGTGGATTACCAGATGATGATTTATTCTTAGTTGTTGGTTGTGTTAATGGGTTTATTAATATCTTTTCAATTAAAACTGGTGTTATTGTTGGATCTTTATTCCATCATACTGCTCGTGTTCATACTCTTATTACTTTTCCAAATGAATTACATTTTTATTCAGTAGGAGATGATAATGCTATTAGACAATATGTTATTGATCCAAATAGTGGTAGTTTAATTCCTGCATTAATTAGAGAACGATGTGGTCATCCAATGAAACCAATTTATGTAAAGATTACAGGTAATAATGTAATTACAGGATCAGTTGATGGAAGTATTAGAAGTAGTTCTTTATTTAATCCAATGTTAACAAAAGAATTTTCACAAAAAGTTTCTATAAAAGCGAAAAGAATGGGAGTAGAGCAGTCAACATTAAAGTTAAATCAAGTAAATTGTATTGATGTAAATGAAAGATATTATCTTTTAAGAGATACTGTTGTCACTACCCATAATGGAAAAAATTTAGCTGTTACATGGGATATTGTAAAAATGAGAATAGGAGATAATAAAATGAGGAGTTCTATTGTTGACAAAAGAAATCCTAATAAAAAATTTCAACACTCAAGTGCACCTGAACTTGAAGTTCAAGTTAATGAAATGTGTCATACAACATATTGTTGTTTTTCACATTGTGGAAATTTTGTTTGTATAGGAAATTCTCAAGGTTTAATTGATAAATTTAATGTTCAAAGTGGAGAACATAAATGTATATTTAATTGTCATAAAATGGAAATAACAGGATTAGCAGTTGATTCCAATAATAAATATTTAATAAGTTCATCTATGGATGGCAAAGTATTATTATGGGATTTTGAAACAGGAGAATTGATTGATACTATTGTGAATATTTTAAGTGGAATTACTCATTTTTCATTTAATAAAAAGAATAATCTTTGTGCTGTTACAACTGCTTCTAATGAATTAATGATTCTTGATTTAACTACAAGAAAAATAATTCGTCAAACAGATATGAGAGGAATAGCATCAAATATTAAATTAAATACAAATGGTAATTTTGTATTTGTTTCATATACAAATGGATGTCTTACAGTTTATGATATTATTACAATGAAAATAGTCGATGTTGTAAGATTTAGTTCAGCAGTTATTTCTATGGATATAAGTGCAGATGGTAGATTTTTTGTATGTTATCTTTCTAAGTCATTTGAATTACAGGTTTATTATTTAAGAGATTACTTTTCAAATATACTTCTTGATGCTCCAAGTAAACCATATTATATTAAATTTTATAAAAGTGAATTATCTGATTCTACTAATATCAAGAATTATTGTTATGATGACATTAACGTTAAAATGGAAACTGAAACTCAAGAAATACGTGAAACAACTATTTTATTAGAAGCAACAGATAATCCTATTGCTAAATGGATTAATTTACCAGAATTAGACCGTCTTAGAAAAGAAATGCAAATTGAACAAACAAGATTAAACCCAGTTGAAATACCATTTTTTATTCCAATTAATCAACATTCTGATGCTATCTTTAAACCTTTAAAAGCAGATTCAAAATTATTATCAAATCAACCTTCATTAATGGAATCAACATTAATTTTACATTTAACAGAATCAAATGAAGCAACATTGACATATTTAATGAGTTTAAATTCATCTCATATTGATTTAGAAATAAGAAATTTATCAAATAATGATTATCAACATCTTAATACTTTTCTTAAATTTTTAAATGATGAATTAAATACTTCTCGTAATTATGATTTTATTATTACAATTACTCAAGTTACATTAAGAACTCATATTAGAGAAATGATGAAACATCTTTCTAAATATTATCATGAATTAACTAATTTAAAAGAAACAATTGAAAAGATGTGGGGACCAGTAGATGAATTATTTAATGAAGACTTTTCATTAGTAGCATTCTTGTCAGGTATCAAAATATGATTTCTTTGATTGAATTAAATTTTTATTTGAAAAATCTTTTTTTTCTCTTTTTTAAGAATAAAAAATAAAAGAAAAAATAAAGGAAAAACTCTAAATTCATTTAGATTTTAAATTGTAGTTCTTATACAATGGTTAAACTTGAAGCAATTTATCTTATGAATGTTGCATTATATTTTGATACAACGAAAAACCTTAAATTATTTATGTGTATTTCTCATACTTGTAAAGAAGCAGTTGGAATGTTACATATTATTCCATATAAAATTTCTGATACTAAACCTACAAGAAGTTTTCTTGAAAGGTTGTCTAGATTTCTTCCACATTTACAAACTCTTAAATGTAATTTAACTATTCTTAATGAAATACCTATTCCTCAAAGTGTTGTTTATATCAGTGGAGTTTTATTAGTTAGTAGAGATAATGATTCTGTTATTCGATGGATGGGTATGTGTTCAGAATTATATATTACAACACATCATTACTCTAGAGTTGATTTAAGTGTTTGTAAAGCATTGAGAACATTACATATTTTAATTTCAAAAGAAAGTGTTGTATCATCTGTGTTTGATGGAGAAGAATTAGCACATCTTCCAGTATTACAAAAAATAGTTGTAGAATGTTTTGGAAGTAATTTAGAAGAAGTTGTTATTGAATTAGAGAAAAATAAAACACTTCAAAAAAAAGAAATCATATGTAAATTACATGAAATAGGAAATATTCATATTTCATTATTAAATAGATTGAATCAAATTGGAGTTGTTATTGGTATTTATTCAAATATGTTAGAAGAGATACCTGAATATGTTACGTTATTACATCATTTTGGATATTTAACAATTACCAGCTCTGATGATACTTTTATTGAAAATCTTCATCATAAATATATTCGTCCTTTAAATCTTCATATTCTTTGTAATCAAAGTATTGAACATAATATCTATTCTGTTAATTGTACTTCAATTCATTCATTACTTATTAGTGGATTAAATTGTATAAATAAATTAATTATTCCAACTTCTCTTAATACCTTAAAGCTTCATCAATGTTCTTTACCTCCATTAAATTTTACTTATGTTTGTTTGGAAAATGTAACTATTGAATCATGTTCAATAGATTCATTAACATTACCAGTTACTGTTAGTTCATTAACTTGTATTCGTTCTATCATTCATACAATCCCAAATCTTCATAAACTAAATTTACCTTTAACTAAATTAATTTCTGTTGCACATACATTATCTTATCCAATGCTTCCAACTAATATTAATGATGTTACGTTTTCAAGTGCTCCAATACTTTCATTTCCAAATATAACATCATGTTCTCTTCATAAATTTAAATTATTTCGATGTAATGAATTAAAAACATTAATTATTCCAACAACAATTACTATGTTAGCTATTTGTTCTTGTAAAACATTAACATTTATTGATACTAACTTAGCCCAATTGAAAAAATTAGAATTAACTGATAACCCAGTTCTTAAATCATTTAATTGTCCATCTACAATGAAATCTATTTTTGTTTCTCGCAATAAAATTTTAAATTTATCATTTGCTTCAACTCTTAGAAAGATTAAAGCTATTCAAACTTTTATTCCTCCAATTCAACTTAATGCTTTATCCAGACTTTCATTATCTGGTTGTAATGAGTTACAATATAACCATTATACTAGTTTACAATATTTAACTATTACAAGTCAATTAACTCAAAATTTAAAATTTCCTTTATTACTACAAAACCTTTCTATAAATGATTGTCAATGTAATTCTATTGATATTAAAACTCTTTCACATCTTACTGCATTAACCTTATGGAAATGTCCAAAAATTAATGAATTAGAACTTCCTAATTTTATTCAAAAAGTTGATATTGCACGATGTGGTAAATTGATAATAAAAAGTAATGAACAATGTACATTAAAAGATTTGAAAATTGTTCAATGTGAAATACAACCTTTAATACTTCCAAAATCGATTTGTACTTTAACATATTCTCGATCAAATACAATAACAATTCTTAACAAATCAAATTTGCCTAATCTCATTGTAAAACCATTATAATTAGTAATTCAAATATTTAATTAATTATTTTTTATCTTTGTTTTTAGATACATATCCTCTCTCTTACTCTCCTTCATTCATTTATATGGATTGTATGAATATTGTTGATTTTGTTGTGGAATATAACTAGTAGATGAATTGAATGTAGAATAATAACTAGGATATTGTGGAATCATCGGCTGTTGTTGTAATGGTGGTAAATACATTGGGAGACGAACATTTAATAAAGAAATTAAAGTATCAGATAATTGCTGAGATCTAACAATTTTCATTATTTCACCATTAGAACGAGTATTTGAAAAAATTTTTTTTAGAAGTAACATATAAGCAATGCATTTAGCATCATACTTTCTGTCTGAAACTGCTATTGCTGAAAATTCATTTAATCTTACAAAACATTCATACCCTCCTTTAATTTCATTAAATCTAAGTTCTAATGATCTTCCTATTCTAGAACATATTCTTTCTATGGTTTGTTCAACTTCTTTTTCCTCTCTATTTGCCATTGGAAGATTTTCTCTTTTATTAAATTCTTCTCTTCTTCTTTCATCCAATCGAAATGGTTTTCTTTCTGTTTCTTTTGTTTTAGGTTTTACTAAAATAGAAAGTGATTCTGGCATTTTAGGACAAATCACTGTATCTCTCAATTTAGGTAATGGTTCTTCATTTAATCCCATTATTAAATCACTGTATTTTCTTGCATTAAAATTATCTATTATAACAAGTGTTTGTAGTGCAATAATATCATTAAAATTATTTTCTATTTTCTCATAATTAGTATTTATAACATTTGTTTGGTCAATTAAAACGTTTACATTGAAATAATTATTTTCTACATTATATATGATTCTTATTTCAACTTGTTTCTTCTTTTCTTTACAAAATTCTGTTAAAAGATTAAATCCTCTCTTTTCATTTGTTGTTGTCATAGTTTTTTATTTTTATTTCTTTTTTAAGTTCTTTTCTTTATTTTATTATATTTTTCCTTTTTTTTTTCTTTAAAACTTTTAAATTTGAAATAACACAAATTTTATTTATTAACTTAAAAATTTGTGGGATTAAAAATTTATTTAGTTTGATATGACTTGATGTACAACCTCTGATACTTTCTTTGTAAATGTTTCAAACCCAAACTTTTCTTTAGTTGCTTTCTTAGCATTTAACTTTAATTTTTGTCTTAAGTTGTTATCATGACATAGTCGAGATATACATGCTGCAAATCCTTCTTTACTTCCATCACAAAGCAGTCCTGTTAATTCATTTTGAACTGTTTCTAATGGACCACCATTATTACAAGCAATTACTGGTACTCCTTTAATCATTGCTTCTAATGGAACAATACCGAAATGTTCAAATGGAGGAGTATATAATACAGCAGTAGCTTTTTTAAAAAGATATTCACGTTCTTCATTTGAGAAATTTTTAAGTAAAGATACATGATCTTCAATATGTAATTGATGTGAAAGTTGTTCTAATTCATTATAGACATCTTTATTTTCTTTTACTCTAAGATCATAACCACCAGCAATAATAATTCTAACATTATTTTTTAAATCATCTTCTAATAAACTTAATGCTTCAAGTGCTACTTTATGATTCTTCTTTCCTTCATATCTATTAATTGAAATAAACCAAAATTCTTCTTTAGGTTCTTCTTCAAATGGACTTTCACTATTCATTGATTCTTCTAAAATAGGATTATATGTTGGATAAAGTACTTGTGGTGTTCTAGAATGACTTGGAAATGCTTTTTCATAAACTGATTGTGTATATAAACTATTTACTACAATTGAATCACTTAGTCCCATAGATTTTTCTTCTAACCAATCAAAAGGGATTCTATATATCTTTTTCATAAATCCTCCTTCTTTACAAAGACATTTGTCTGGATGATGACAATAAAACAATACCTTTTTATTAAAGAGTTTTAATATTGGAACTCCAATTGAAATTTGATCAACAATATAAATGTCTGCATTAGTTTTCCATGCAACAATTATTGATAAATAAAGAGCTCTTATTGTAGCAAAGAAAATATAAAAATATCCAAATAATGTAATTGGAAGAAAATCTCCATGAACAAATACTTGGAACCTTCCTTTTGTCTCTGGAAAACAATGTTCTTTATCATGATGTGATGTATAAAATTTAACGTCATAATCTTCATGTTCCAATGCAAGAGCAATATCTACAACAAGTCGTTCAGCTCCACCAATACCAAGATCAGGATGAATAATGATAGCAGTTTTAGTGTTATTATCCATAATTCAATTTTTTAAGTTCTTTTTTCTTTTTTCTTTTTCTTTAAACAATTCAACTGATAATGTTTTTACTACCAAAAATAATAATTGAATTCTATTAAAATTAATTAGATGGATGTGACATAGTATTTTGAATAGATATTGTTGGTGATTGATTTGATTGAATTTCTTGACAAGTTGTTGGTGTTGTTGTATTAATTTGTTGATCTGGTATTTGTGTATTAAGTGGAACATCATATATTCCATCATAATATTTCACTACATAAACAGGTTGAGGATATGTATAGTTAGGGATAGTTTGAATTGGAATTTGATTAATTTTTATTGAAGGATCAATGAGAGGATTATTATTTGGTTGTGGTTGAATGACTTTTGGTTGTGAATTAGAACCTTTTGATTTTCTATTTTTTCCTAATAGTAGAATTTGCTTTCTTGTAACTGAATTGAGTTTATCAATAGAATAACGTAATCCTTCTCTACTAAAATAACGATAATTATCTGTAATAAATTGAACTACTCTATCACTATACATTAATGACATTTCTCTTAATAAACATCCAACACCTAATTGTACAAATCGTTCACTACTTTTAATACAAGCTGCACAAATATCAAATGATAAATCAGTCATTGCACCAACTTTAACTAAAGATACAAAAGTAACACATGAAGCTCTCATACGCCAAACTTTCCCAGAATCTTTCCATTGTGAAATTTTTGTTGCAAATTCATCACTTTTTTTAATTAAAGGACCAAGTACTCTCACAGAAAAAGAGTCACAAACTTCCCATGTTGTAATATCATTATCAAAAATACGTTCAAAGTCTGCAATATGATTAATTGTAATTTCATCAAGTATTTTTGTTATTACCATCGTTCCTATTTTCTTTTCTTCAATTGTTCCTAATGCTAAAAAACGATAAGCAAAATAAAGTTGATTGTCTGGAGAGTATGATGAAAGTGTTGTTGAATAAAAATTATCAAATAAAGTTTGTAATTGTGCAGATCTAATATTATATGTTCCTGTTGATGGTTTTTCATTTGAAATACTTCTTAAAGAAACTTGTAATGATTCTATAACATCATTGAATGGTATATAAACATATTTACCTCCAATATATGCAATATGAATTGGTTTAACAATTTCTTCAGTCATGAAAATGTAAATTATAATTAATAGTTTTTTTTCTATTAAAAAATTCTTTTATAAAAACAAAAAAAAATATATTAAAAAAAAAGAAAAATGTTATTAAAATCAATAATTTTATTTAAGAAAAAAATCAAAATAAAAAAGGAAAGAATGAATAGAAGTAACAATGAAATTATGAGAGTAACACAAGTGAAACATCATCAAGAGCATTAACTGTTAAAATATTTCTGTCTTTAATTAAGAAAGCAGCACCAATTTGGTAAATAGAATTTTCAATTCTAGCTTTTCCTTTATATAATACAAATAAAGAAGTACTTAAAATTGATACATCAATAGTAAAACCTTTATTAATATGATAAACAGTAACTATAAAACTATTTAAATATTGTTTTGGATTTATATATCTAATTGATTGAGCAGCTTGATAATCATCTGAACGTATTGTTAATATTTCTTTATCTACTTCACTAATTCTATTACAAGTTTCATGTGGAATGAATTGTAAAGCTTCAAGATCACAAAATTTATGAGTAAGTCCAAATCGAATAACATTATCACTTGAAACCATTGCTTCAACACATTCTCCTTCAATATATCCATGAGGATAATTAGGAGGAATAAAAAATGCATGATAAGGTTCAAATATTTCATATCTAAGAAGAAAACAAACAATAAGTCCAACATCATTTTTGAATTTATTGACTAATTTATTAAATAAAATTTGATGTTTTGATAATGTTTTTCCATTTTGAATTAATGAAGTAATATATTTACTCATTTCATTTATATAATTAATCACTTTATTTTTTTCTAATAAATGTGCTCTTACTAATAAAGTACGTGCTTCTTCTCCTTCTTTATAATTTAATACTTCTACTAATGGTGGATTATTTTTCATTTGAAAGCGT